TGGCAAATGAGTTTGTAGGGACCCACTTTCACGCCGCGCATAAAAGACAAGAAGGACAAGCGCGTGGAAGTAATGGAAGTGGAAGTAATAGAAGTTTTCCAGGAATACGTTAAGAAGGTCCCGTTCTGTCGCACGTAGGGTCCGGGTAGCCGCGGAAGGGTCGCTGTGGTGAGGCGAAGCCGGTCTCGGGTCCCGGTCCTAATTCACACAAACGGTCGCCCGCTTCCAGATGGCCCCCGCTTTAGTTAGCGAGCGGATGACACCGGACACCAGGCGCATCTTCGAGGAAAGCCCGTTGGTCCGAGCCAGTTTTGTTCTTTGTCATTCCGCCGCTTTATATAACATGGAACCATTTTAAAGGAAAATGACTGGGGTTTAGCCGCACAACCTCACACGACATACATCGTATAAATTTAGATTCAAAAGCCTTGTCATGCGCAAAATATTGCGAATCGAAACTTTTCATGTTCGATTGTTGGCAGAAAGAAAAAATGGGTTCGTTTATCTTAAAAATTAACGGAAGAACACAATTTAGATGAACGAACAACTTTCAGAATTTCCACTTTGGTGAAGAACCAATATCTGTAATACCCCCCCCCCCCCTCCCCTCCCCTCCCCCCAAAAGCCATGTCTGGGACCGCCACTGACCGCACCTGAGTACAAGTACCAGAAACTAAGATTTTGAGTTCGCTACCCACGGCATCTGTCTTATGACGACAGCATGGCCTCCGAGATTTTCGCGCGCTGGGGCTGCGAATCTCGGAGGCCATGACGAAGTGAGCCTGATTGGCGCAACACCCAACAGATGGCGGGAGCTGTTGATGTACCCAGCATAACCTTACAGGAAATCTGCCTTGTTTGTTATGCGCTCATTCAATGTATGTTAGACGTAAAATAAACAAATCACACGTTACACTCAAAACGCCCGTTCCACATTTCATTGGAAGACTGGTTTTCATATCGGAGACAATTTTCGGCACCCTCGCTTTTACCTGCTTCCATCTGTCGACTGTTGACCGTTCAGAGATGTTCTTTTAGCGGACGGCCGCCCTAGGTATCAGATTGGCGCTCTTTATTTCTACTCCTTATCTAGATAAGCTTAATCTTTGAAATTATGATACACAGAACACATCATCCTCGGCCACCTCTTCAAAATATCTTAGCGCATACCCCTTCCAGACGGGCCCCTAAAAGGACCTTAACGCCAAAGGACCTTTAGTGTAAATGTCATTTAAGCAGTGCGACACGGAAACTCAGGTGGCACCTGACCTCGGGGGGGGTCACGTGACCTCGGAGGGAGGGGGGTCACATGACCTCGGGAGGAGGGGGGGCCACGTGACCTTGGGGGGATCATGTGACGTCGGGGAGGGGGTCACGTGGCCTCGGGGGGGGGGGGGGGCACATGACTCCTTTCCCCGAGGTCACCGAAGGTACCCGAGGTCCTCCCGAGGTCTTCCCCAAGGAACCCGAGTTTTTCCCGAGGTCCTCCTAAAGAAACCCGAGGTCCTCCCGAGGTCCTCCCGAAGGATACCGAGGTCCTTCCGAGGTCCTCCCAAAGGAACCCGAAGTCCTCCCGAGGTCTTCGAGAAGGAACCCGAAGTTCTCCCGAGGTCCTCCCGAAGGAACTCGAGGTTCAATCGGGAGAACCTCGGGTTCTTTTGGGAAATTTACCCGTAATGCACCGCGCGGTTACGCTGACGGCGACGGCGACGCCGCTCAAGCCGGAAACGGGCGCCTAAGGACTGCGCTCTAAAAAGTTAATGAACAAACTTTCGTTCATTGTCTGACTTTGAATGTACTTGTGGTTTGGCAAGTTGCAAATGAACGTTTTGAACCATGGTTAAAAGCGCTAAAACGACGAACACGAGAGAGAAGACCAGTGAGCGCCCGTGTTTGTCTTCTCTCTTGTGTTCGTTTTTTTTAGCACTTTTAACCGTGGTTCAAAATCATTATCTGACTTATTAGGATGATCAGCACCCATATTATATTCGCATGCCCGAATTCCTCTCTCGCACCAGCCCCATAAGTGTAGCTTTTTCAGCTGTTTTAAGTGTATAAAAAAATTGTTAAAACAAACAAAAAACAGACAGAAAAACAAGCAGCTTTTCTATTCTGTGTAAACTGCGGAATCTGAAAATTGTTGAGCCCATTCTCTTCTGACTCGGAATTAAATGCACTACGCCCTTAATTATACCTCCCGAGGCGGCTCTGTGTACTCCGTAAAACTCAGTGGAAGGAACAAAAACAAAATATTATCTATACAAGCCAGGAAATGAGGCGGGACTGCTAAATATAATGGAGAAACTAGCGCGCGCGCGCTAAGAACGAGAACTTATACACTACGCCAACGAGGACCGCACACCGCCGACGTCTCTATCCTCGTGGACCCGTTGGCGGGAGGCTCACGGTTTCCCTCGGGGCGTTTTTCACTCCACGATCTCACGGTCCGGTGGCGCTTCCGCGAGGCAGAACGTTCCTTATAATAAGAGAAGGATTTGACGCCGCCCGGCCATTCCCGACGTGGTCACGGCAGCGTGGAGAAAGTCTGGCTGGTCCGTTTCGTGATCGCATTCTAAAATGGTGGGGAAAAAAACGAAAAACAAGAACGCGGGCGGCGTTGCGTTTGCGTGCCAGTTCGCGGACTCTCGCTTTCGAAAACAAACCGCGTGCCGCCGTTTATCCGGTCGAGCGAAAGGTGAGAGAGCACGAACAGTCAGACTCACAAGGCCTTCCCATTGTACCGATGTTCGTTCTTGTAGCGAAAGGTTCGCGTTTCATAGCTGGGTTTGTTGTCCGCGCGTCCTTTTTCGCTCGCGTGTACGCTTTCTTGCTGGGACAGAATGCAGCGGATTTCGCATCGACGGAGACCCGCCCAAGAGCGGACGACGATCAAGTTCTGCTCCTTGCACCTAGGGTTCAATGGCGGGCACTTTGATACTTTTAGACCCAGGTTACTATAAAAAATTTAAAAAAAAAAAAACTTTTTTAAATTTTTGTTTAAACACAGGCTTCTCGTGTAAGGCTCGTCAAATTATGAGGTGCTGGAGAAAACCAGCCCTCAACGTTATGTCCTTATTTCTAACTCCTGTTGTTCGCGTTCCGCACATTAAAAAGCACGCGGGAAGGGCCTCGGCACGCACCTCGTATCGCTGCGCCGCAGTTTTCGTCCTCAGCATAAAGGCCGTCTGCTTTCATCGCCGCCACCATGACAACGACTGCCGATTTTCCGAGCGCCATCTGCTAGCCTAAGTTGAATAATTTGTAATAAGCAGCCAGGACACAGACTATCGCCGCCAAGCGGCGTGAACGCAGGCGGGGGGTGGCCTAACAGGCTCCCTAGTGATACACGCGGCGCCGTCCGAAAAGGTTATTCGGCGTTTGTTGCTATGGTGACGGCGATGACAGCAGGTGGCATTTTTGCTGCGGAAGAACACCGCGGCGCAGCGATACAAGGTGCTTGCTGAGGCGCTTTCCGCATTTGCTTTTCAATGGGCGGAACGCGAACAAAAACAGTTCGAAATAAGAACTTAACGGAGGAGGCTGGTTTTCTCTAGCGCCTCATAATTTAACAAGACTGATACGAAAAACGCTTCTTTTGATTTTTTTTTTTTGAATTCCGCGATTTTAGTTTAATTCATAATATGAGGTCTAAAGCATTAAATTACCCAATGGCGCTGGGGCACCGAATTCTGGCGTCGTCTACTATAGTGACTGACAGCTCAAGAAATGCGGGGCGTGGCATGTCCCGCGCATCTCATTATCGGTCCATAGCCAATCAGATTGCCTAATCAGGCGATAAGTATTCCGAACAACCAATCAAAAAGCAAGGATAGTCAGCATGATAAGCCACGCCCCGCGTTCCTTGTGCTGTTAGTGATTGTAGTCGTGGCGACAGCTTTCTTACTATTTCTGCAGCCGTCGGAAATCAACCCCCTGTTGCACGAACGAGTATCCTTCCTTCAAAAAGGACATGGCGTCTGCGGCGGTGGAGCTTCATTGAATGAATGAATGAATAAATGTTTAATATAGAAAGTTATATCGAGCGAATTCGACTTCATCGTCCACGTGACCTATCCTTCTCAGCTTTCGCGCGTTCCCTCACATGTGTGGAGAGACGCGTTTTTCTCGGGAGTCCTACGACAGAACGCTTTCAACCTTCAATTTAGCGGTGCGACTGTTTTATTCCACCAAAAATTCCTTCTATAGACTAAGCATATTATCTCTGTAAGGTTTGAAAGATGTCTAAATTTAATAATAAAGCATTATTTTTTGGGGGGGAGGGGGGAGGGGGGTTGAATTTTTATCAATTATTTTTACCAAAGTAGACAGAAAAATTTATTAGAAAAGCGTGTTATATGTTATGTGACAATATGCTGTACAAGTCAGCGCAAGCATAGTACAGAATAGAAATTATGTACGTCTTACCACTGATCTCATCGGTAGTTTGAACAGAAAATAGCAGCGAGAGAACAAAACAAATGATGGCAGAAATAAAGGATCACCATGCGAGCCTTCTCGTCGACAAAGCTAATCCACTTCTTGCCACAATTCTTGGTCTGGCGATATATCTTTAGTCATCACAACGCGATAGGTTCTACAGAATGTTCACATGGGCGTAAAAATTTGAAGGTATCACACAAGGTAAACCCGACGTCAAGACATCGGTTGTTAGTCTGCTTGGACATAGTCGTTTTGTTTTGTTTCCTACTCCCAAGTCTACTACTGTCTACCCTAAAATGCGGAGACATATCGATATGTAAACCAGTTTTGAGGTATAATCGCTGCGGCTTCAGGAGCGCACTTCCTTTTCTTGAGCCCGGGGATGATATTGCAGCTGCTGCAGTGACCAGTTTAGCTTTGAGCAGACAGCAGCGGAACAATATTTGGGTAACCGAGTGACGGCGTTAATAAGTTTGAAGAGCGCTTTTCACTACCTTGGAGAAAAACTTAAATTTCAGTTTCATCAAGGTGAAGTGAGCTTGCTTCGCTTCGTTTTCCAGGCATCAACGCGCCAAGGACCCACGGAATCTCCGGCAACCCTCTTCCCAATCCCCGCCTGGTCTCGATCGGCATCCGGCAGTCGCCTCCGGACCCTCGGTACCGACGAACGCACACTCACCTGTTCATGGCCTACGGACAACTCATTGACCACGACATGTCGCTCAGCCCAGACGCCAGAGGACGTACGTGAGGATACTGGTCACCGGTTGAACTTGGGTCATATTCGCGCGAAGCCGTATTCGTGTGTTTTCAAAAAGAATTTGCCATAAAAATATCCGTCGTGCCTGTCGGCAAGGTAAAGAAGTCACTGTCACCATGCTCATATAGCATACAATCCGGAGCGCAAGTTCGTCTGCTTCTTGCAGAGGGGTTGCGAAGATTTTAAAATGCCAAGCTCTTATGGGCTGATTGAAACAAATAGTGGGTAGACCTCAAGGCATCTAGCATTAAGGTCTACCGACTATCCTTTCAGTTCAAAGCCATTTAGAGCTCGGCGTCGTTCTGACGTCACCTCAACTCCTGCGCAAGAAGCAGACGACTTGCACTCCGCATACAAACGGTGTTCGCAAAGTGGAGAGCAAGTCGTCTGCTTCTTACACAAGGGTTGCGATGACGTCAGAAGGACGGCGAGCTCTGATTGGCTTTGATTGAAATGATAGTTTGTAGACCCCGATGCTATACGCCTTGGCGTCTATCCACGATTTTTCTTGGAGCGCAGCTCTTAGGCGACCGTTTCCAGCTTGAGCGGCGTTGGCGTCGCCGTCGCCGTCGGCATCGGCGTGACCACGAGCCCCCTCCCCAAGGACCTCGGGAGGACCTCGGGAGGACCTCGGGAGGATCTCGGGTTCCTTCGGTAGGACCTCGGGAGGACCTCGGGTAGGGGGGATCACGTGACCCCCCCTCCCGAGGTCACGTGACACCCCCCCCCCCCCCCCCCCGAGGTCAGGTGACCCCCCAGTAGCCTTCCCTCCTCCTCCTCAAGAGTACGCTCTAATGGACCTTTTTCCCGTAAGCGTCTGCGCACGCGCACACCCTTTCCACTTGACCTTGACCGCCCCTTCGCCATTTTTGGGGGGCACTGTTTTCTTGCGACACTAATCTGTTCTTATGGGAGAAGGCGAGTCCGGTTGCCCTCCATTTGTAGTAGGCGGCGAAACCGTCATGGGGCACTCCTTACTGGAAAAAGGTCCATTCGGCGTTACAGGGAGTTGTAAACGGCTTTCACTTTCTTTGACCAGCCAATCAGAGCTCGGCGTTCTGACATCATCGCAACCCCCGAGCAAGAAGCAGACGAACATGCGCGCCGAATCGACGTGACGTCAGACGTGTGTCAAGTATGTTCGAAGCACGTTCGCTTCAGACGTTTGAACGCTTGGAGGATGTATGGAGACCGTTTTGTACATAACCACAGCCGGATTCACACTCTTCATGCATCTTACAAAAGGAAGGGTGTTCGCTGCGGACGTTATTACATAATTATTGGCGGACAGGTCTCAGGTGTGTCGGAAGCGGAGGCACGCGGTTTCGAGAAGCTCGTTTTAGCGAACACCGTTTTACCGACCCCGGTTTATCGAATGCCTTTATAGAGAACCCAGTTTAGAGAAAATGGTGATGAGCCTCCTTTTAGCGAATTAGGCCGCCGCGAAGCGGCGTGTACGCGTAAATCAGGTGAGTTAACATTTTTGAAATAAGCCGCCGCAGACTGCCGCCGCCAAGCGGCGGAAGCGCAGCGGGCGGCATGCAGCAGTGATACGCGCGAGAAGTAGGAAAGCTTTTTTTTAAAAATCGTCCCCTTTTCGATAAATGGCGTTTCTCTAAACTGAGGCTCTGCTTTCTCTAAACTGTGCTTCGATAAAACGTGCCTATTCTCTAAAACTTGCTTCGATGAAATTACATTCGATCAACCGTAGTAAACCCGTCCGAAGTACGTTTGCTGCATACAAATGTATGCTTATAACATATCTGTAGACGTTTTTTTATGACCAATGTGCAGGACCGTTATACAAGGAAAACTCAGGACTCAGACAGCCTCTGCAGGCTGTCTTTCGCATGTTGTATTGGGATCGTGAGCACGGCTTTAAAACGAAAAACCAACCGAAATACATCAAAATGTATTTGTGTATTTGGTGGAAAAGTTTGCCCACTGCCGGTGCCGAGCTGCGGCGTTAGCGGTTTAGAACGCCGCCTTATAAAGCGCATGTTCACGAGTCATTCATTAGTCAATTAAGGTATAGCGTGTACGAGAGAAATACTGGCTAAGCCTTCCTTTCCCTTCGACACGGCAGACGCTTTTGTAGTTCTAGAGGTGGGACTTTGCTAGTGATCATCATGCACTTTGTTTCTTGTCACTGGAACTACATCTCCAGAAATCAGGACCCGTAAAGCCACAGCACACATACCAACGAATGAAAACTTTTCATTATCGGCGACGTTTACGTCTCGGTGCGAGAACTATTTTCTAATGCAAGTCGTTATAGTACTTTTAGAATGTCAAACTGAGAACACACACACAAAAAAAAAATTACCACACTAAAATGACCACATCACGCTACACTTTATACCGATAAAACTTCGGATCTTGCGGCTTCATCGCAGCAGCGGAGAAAAGCTTTTCAGCTGCCCTTTCCAATTCGGTTGTTCCACATTTGTGTTCCACATTTCATTATGTTCCACATTTCATTATAAAAGACGCGGTTCGCGTTTCTCGAAAGAAAGCAGGGGGATTCATTTGAAGCGCCGACTTAAGACAGGTCGGTCAAGGTTCTTTGTCAAATTTGGTGGTGAGAATCAACAGGGTCCGAAAACGTTCACCGCTTTCATGTTTGGTAGTAGGACGTAGTATTATGTTGCTTAATGAGCGTCTCCGAAGGGTGTGTTTTTTGTGTCTGATAAAGCGGACCTATAGATTTACGCCTAATGACGTCATTCAAATGTCATGTCGCTGGCCGCGATCCTGGCGGTGTCACAGCAGGGGTGGTGGATGTGGCAGAACCCTGGTCTGCTGCAGGTCGCTTTTCAGCTGTACAGTCCACGGAAGGTGCAGCAGGAGTTGGGACTCCTTAACGACAGTGACACACGCGTTCGCTCGTACTTTTTTGCAGGGACAGCACCAACCGCCAGGATAGCGACGTCTGACAACATGACACGCTGGCCTTTACGACATACAGGGTGTCACAAAAGAAAATTTACACGCTCTTTTTCACCGCAAAAATAAACTAGGCATCGCCCAACGCTCATTCCCCGCCCAAAGGTATAGACCTAGAGGTCACAACCAGTTGCCAAAGTTTCAGCCCGATCTGATAACTTAATCAAGAGTTATAAGTGATTTTCTGAAAATTTCAATGGGAAAATGGAGCCATAGAGCCCCATGTGTTTGAAAACTCTGTCGGCCGCCATTTTCCCATTGAACCTTTCAGAAAATCATTTATAACTTTAGATTAAGTTATCGAATCGGGCTGAAACTTTGGCATCTGGTTGTGACCTCTAGCTCTACCTTTGGGCAGAGAATGAGCGTTGGGCGATGCCTAGTTTATTTTTGCGGTAAAAAAGACCGCGTAAATTTTCTTTCGTGACACCCTGTATATCGGTGCCGCTTCAGGACTGGTTTTGATATATGGGTGGGATGTGAAGCTGAAAACACTAGTCGAAGACGCGTCCCAGGCTCCGTAGTAGTGTTGATTCATAGTCCCACAATGATTGCAGCATTTAACAGCGTGTCAAGCTAACAATGCGGAGGGCAAGTCGACTGCTTCTTGTGCAGGAATCGCGGTGACGTCAGAACGAGACCGAGCTCTGATTGGCTCGGATTGAAAGAATAGTGGGTATAAACCTCAATGCTAGATGCCTCGAGGTCTACCCACTATTGTCTTCCCTCAGCCAATAAGAGCTCGGCGTTTTGACATCGTCCCAACCCCTGTGCAAGAAGCAGGCGAACCTACCCTCCCCAAACGTTCGCCACGTTCTTCACCCGTGAATGAAAGAAGCCGTGCGTTCTTTTTTATTCAGGAAAAGGCAAGGAGATCTAATTTCAATGGAGGACCTGCGGGATTTCGTCACAACCTAGAATATTTAGGGCCCGTGCACTAGAATTTCGACGTCATCGCTGTGAGGTTGTGCGCAGACATAAATTGAACACGATTGCTGCGCCAGAGCTCCGTTGGGGCTCGTGTCCAATCAACACGTCGAAGGACTCTCGGCATCGGGATCGGGTCAAACTGCTGAGTCGGCCCCATTCGACTGTGATGACGTTGCACGGAGGAGGAGGCCAATGCACGCGGGTCTTCAAAATTCTATACACTCTTAAAAAAGTTTGCGCGTCTACTTTACGCAAATCACTTAAAGAGCCAATCACCGCAACTTACTTAGGCAGCTCAGCGAATGACAATGCCAAAACATATGTTTAGACCAAAAAACGCAGTCTGAGTTGTGACATTAAGCAATGCGAAACGTCACGCTTGCATTGCTTAATGTCACAACTCAGTCTGCGTTTTTTGGTCTAAACAGATGTTTCGGCATCGTCATTCGCCGAGCTGCCTCCGTGAGTTGCGCTGATTGGTTCTCCGGGTGTTGTGCGTGAAAGTAGACGCACAGACGTTCTTTAGAGTGTGTCTATTCACTGATGGAGCTGCCCGATTGGTTGCATCGGATCTTACAACGTCAACTGCGGTCGGGCAAAGTGAAACCGAGTATAGGCGGTATCCGTGATTTGGCGGGACTCTTTCTCTTGCAGCCAACGGCACGCTGCTCATGTGCTGCGGAGAGCGGGCGTCTCCCGCCTGCTTTCCGATCCGCCTGCCCTTCAACGACCCCTTCTTTGCCGACCTGGGCATCGACTGCCTCAACGTGGTGCGAACCTCGTCGTGCACGGACTGCTCGGGATTCCGTAAGTAATACGTAGCTCGCAACACTTTAAAAAAAAGAAACGAGCGCCATACTTTACATTTGTGGCCGGTGTGTGTAAATCGCGCCGGACAGTGTCAGACTGTAAATTGGATCGTGTGTTTTTGGGCGCAAAAACCTCTAAACACACCGTTCCACTGTGCAGCCCGGCCTGTTTGTTGCCTCGGAATGCGAGGGAAGCACATGCCATAGACGATTGCAAGCAAGGTCACTGTCAAGGTCACCGCCACGTCTCTGCTGGTGCGGACAAGCTCGTGCGATTTCAAGCTTGACAAAGCTATGGTCACGCGGGAGCTGCACGTGATTGCTCTCATAAGGCGCCAGTCGGGGCGCCATGCTTGAAATTTCTATACGCACAGACTCCCAAGATGCTAGAAGCTCTTTATTAGAACGGTTTCTACGACATTGAAGGGAAGGACAGGAGGACGTAAGAGCACTCTGTAGTGTCAGAGCTCTGACTGATATTTGAAGGATTGGAGGAAAACGAAAAGGCTAGGCGCCTCTGGTTACACCCCTTGTCTCTCTACAATTATAGTGCACAAGCGAGTCGTATGCTCCTCTTCAGGGCCCGTTTGCTCGAAGCTGGTTAACTCTAACTGCGGTTAAATGTTAACCGCATTTCCCTACGAGGGGGAATTTTAGGTCACGTGACCGGCAGAGTAAGGACGGCAGGGAAACATGGCTGTGCCCAGGTGAGTGAGCGCCGCTCGCTTTGGAACTAATATGTCGTTGTAGCTGTAATATCTGGCGCGTTAGTCAGCAATGAATTGTGCAGGAGGCTTTCGCTTTGCCTTACCTCACTTAAACCGCAAGGCATGAGCAATGACCTCGCCACATTTTTTAGATAGTTTTTCGATTCTGGCCATTCCTAACCCTAAATAAATGCGATAATTGTCGGCATGGCAACGTCTTGGGAAAGGGGATTGCCTTGACTCAATCGGCCGGGTATAGACCGTTCCATTAGGGTCATAGCAGAGAGGGTAAAAATAGAAAAAAAATGCCCTCCCCCTCTCACCCGGATGTCGTCTGCTCCGCCGAGTGGGCAGTACCTAGCATCCGGCTGGCGTACAAACTCTGTTTAAAATCGCGTCATTTTGGAAATTTCAAGTGCAGATGCGCAGATTTTGGTGTGCCAGTTATCGTGTATTACTACGCTAGATAAAAATACTGAGTCTAATTGCGCTGTTACTGCGTGCACATAAAAGAAACTAGAGGAAACTGTGCCAGACCGGCCGGTCTCTCCGGCGAAAAGTGAATCCTGCGGCTGTACCTTTTTTACTATACAAAGTTCATACTGGTGTAGGCCTTTAGCGACCATGAGTGGATGTCTGAAATAATAAATAAAAACCTGCGCTCTTGCCGCAATACACGCAGTAGTTGAGGGTAGTACTGCCGGCTGACTCAAATGCTATTTAAGTAACGGAAAAAAGATATGTCAGTTGATCATTTACCGAAGTAGAACAACAGAGAGCTCTAGGCTGATTTTGGAGTGGCCATAACTATTCTAAGAACGCGAACCACTTCACAACGGCAGCCCCGAGCGAGAGTTCGATGTTCCGTACGGCCTGCCGATACAGCCCAAAGATGGAGGATGGCAACCTCCCGTTTTGTCGTCTGCTAGCGGAGTCGGGCGCGTGCCCTCTCTCTCGCTTTACCCCGCCGAACCCACTGAATTTCCCGGATGTATGGAGTGGGCGCTGCTGTCGAACAAAATGGTGCCGCCCAGAGAGCGCTAAATGGAATGGTCTATTGATAGCGCGCAGAAAGAGACAGCGTCCCAATAGTCGATTTACTAGATTTCCCAAGCACCAAGGTGCATGCTACGAGTGTAGTTACACGCGTTGCACGTGCTGGCGTCTGCAGTAGTAATTGTTCTAAATCAAAAAGTGTAAAACAAATTTTGCCGTGCACGCGCGTTCGTCAAAGATTTATAATGATTATTTACTTCAAATCTTTCATAAGTGGAAGGCCAGCGCGCGCGGATCGTAGAATTACACTTCCACCGTTCTCCTCGATGCTTGGATAATTTACCAATAGGTCTATTTTCACTGGAGCCGAATAAACATGTTTTTTTTTTTTTTAATTTATGATGGTGCCATATACAGTTCTTACATGCTGGCCAACCATGCTGCCGGTGTACCGCGCACCTTTCACTGCTCACTTCTTTCTTATCGTTTCTAGAACTGAACTTCGTCATCCTCTTTCGAACTTGAAAGGAAGTTTCAAAGAGTCTTGTCTTCAATTCAGACAGCCAAGTATTTAGAAATTTTTCAAACAAGGGTTAATCTAGTTTTACCTGACGCAATACCTATACCACAAGCAACAAAGAATGTTTCTTAAGCTCGAATGTATGCCGCGCTGCGTCGTGAAAACCGGTAGCTCGCGTTTTTGGGTCCCCCCTTTTTGGGAACTATTTCCACGGAAGCCACGTATATTCGCTACAACCTGTATGTGACACCAGCTACCACCCCATAATAAAACACGGAGCTGTCGCTCATCCAGCCCTCGTCAACTTGGCTAGGTACTTGTAGGTACCTAGTAGGGAAGGGCGGTGAACTCTTAACCGCGGTTAAAGTTAGCCGGCTTCGAGCAATCGGACCCTATACTCTGTTTCACACTTAACGTGCAAAGCTGTCAAAGCTACTGGCGCGAGCGCGTGCCTTCATGTATGGTTTTGTTTACGCGAGAACTCGTGCAAATTATCAACAATATAAAGCCCCATGCTCGTGCCAGTAGCTTTGACAGCGTAGCATACTAAGTATGACACAGAGTATAGACCTTTTCACCCTCCGCCGCATGGGCGCTGCCATCTTGGAATCACGTGATGCGGCCGCCATTAGGTTGCTTCAACTTGTTGCTCCGCTCTCCCGTCCGCGCCTTGGCGGTTGCGTTGAATTCGTGTTTTTCGTCGCCTTTCACCGCGTCTCTTGCCTTACTCCGTAAAGTGTCGTCCGATACTTATACTTACTATGCAATTGCATTACATCATTATGCGCGCAACTTCTGTAGTTGATTTTGTAACACGTGTGGAATATTTTTTACCGTCGGCGTGCGGGATACGTGTGAAAAGGCTTTATAGGAACAGGAATTAGCGTTAGCACTTGCGCACATTGAATACAAATATGACTTGAAGAGAGCCTCGAGGGTTCAAATACCAATAACTTATGAGAACTGAGGTTTGGTTACTAACAAAAGCGGAACATTTGGAATAGGAAGCCCAATGTAATTATATATATGAGTGCTCATTGGTGGCAATGAAGGAAACAAAAACACTCAGCGTAATTAGCCACGTGTTTTTCCTGAAAGCATGGTGTTTTGTCGTTACAACAGATCGAAAAAAGTTCCTTTTGATTATATTGTGGACAAGATGCGAGAACAAACGTTTAGTTTGAATTATTTTTTATGCTAGAAATAATGGTTCCTCAACATTAGGCAACTTGTTTCTTCGCATATATCACACCTATATCTGTTTTACGTTCTTAATCGCGTCTGCGATATAAGCATTCGCTTTATCGGTTTATTTAGGAATTCCACGGAATTGTATATCGTGCTTGGTCTCATGTCCATAGTCTTTCAGCTGCTTTAGTCATTTTTTAATATAATCATGCAGTTTCAATTAATTCATTTCAACACAAATATTTTGACTCGTCGCGTAAGAAACTGTCACAGATAGCTTGATAGTGCCTATGATTCACAAAATATGACGCCGAAAAGAATCCTTCTGCATGAAAATCACCCGAGTGCAGCCGGTTGTTGACGGCGAATAGGGAGTTACTTCCAGTAGCTGGCGACGTCAAAATGTGCACAGCGTACCGTTTCAAATCAGTGAACAGCTTTCTACACAGGTCCATTCGGTGGCGCCTGGCATTTGACTTCAGCAAAACTTATCGGAAAACATTTCCTTTGCGCTCTTCACTCTCATTCGGCAAATTTTACGGAAGATGAATATTAGACTTTATTTGAAGTCTTGCATTCAGTTATCTCACCATTCTCATACCTTGAGAACGTACCTTGAGAACGTCGGAAGCAAATGTCTATATAACAAAAAGTTTATTTCATAAGGTCAATATTTTGAAATTCTGTTAATGAGTACTTTAGTTAACGAAATTTTCCAGTCAGCCTAGGCTGGTCTATCAAAATATTTCTCGAGCGCTTAATTTCTTTAACTAAAACAGGCCGAGACAATATCACTTTCTTTATATTATCTATGTGATTATATGCAACTTTTCTATTGATTATAAAAGACGTTTCCAGTCTCGAAGTTAGAAAAGGTTGGTGTACGAATACCAAACATCGAACAGTAAACTTGTCAGTTCATCTGTTCTTGGTGAAACAGCAGATTGTTAATCATGTTGTCGACCTGCTTTTTCACTAAGCACTCATGCAATATAGTCTGTTGCAATATAAGATGAATAGTTCAATATTTGACTTGAGCGCGAGCTATCTACCTTTTGTTCTGCTCGGTGCACACACAGCCACAGCACGGCGGCAGGCAACGAACGCACGCTGCAGGCGGAGCTTGTCCTGCTCTTTATTTTTTTTTTTCTGGAAATTAGTGTCCACGGGTACGGCTGTGGACTATGGTACTCCTCCCTGTGCGTCAGCGGAGTTGTTTCACCGCCGAACCTGGCCGAAATTAACGATGGACGGAATCGGACGCACATCGTGTTCGTAAAAAAAGATCGCAATTTAGGCTCGAAACAACATTGCGGTCTGCCAAGTGGCTCAATACTATTGTTTCATTCGCTGTGTGCCACAAGAAATAAATTTATATCGCAAAATTAATCGAAAGTGGCATGAAACAGCATCACAACCGCGTGTACGTTGAAACCGAAACCGACCAAATTGAAGCAACCTAATGGCGGCGAGTGCGCTAGCGCCCTCTACCCGCCGGTCAGGCAACTACTGAAATGAAAAGGTCTATAGAGTCTACGCTCGAACGCCAGACTCGGCGCGAAGAGCCGACGATACTCTTGTTTTCTATGACTGGAGGGAGGCAGAAGGTGGATTGAAAAGCAACTAGCCTTTACGTCTACTCTCCTTTAAATAATCACCGTATAGAGTGCCAGCTTTTAAATTTAGCTGCCAGAAAAAAAAAATTCGAATAATTGCGGCTGCTCATTTACGTATTTCACTGCCTGGTATGCGGAGGGATTCTTATTGGGAGATCGCGTTGCAGGACCGAAGGGTTCTGGGCTCAATCGCCAACCACTGTATGTCTCGGTATATGTGAGCACCGCAGCAGCGTACAGTCAGGTACTACCATTACTGCACGGCGCAAGTTACAGAACCCAGGCTAGCAGTCGCTCTGCTCTGTGCGAAGTTCTCGTGTACAGCTTGATCATGCCACTGTTGCCATACGCCGGCAAATTAACTTCGTGGTGAATGAAAACACACGTCTAATTTCCTCTTGCGGCGTAGGCACTCTTCATGACAACCCCTTAGTTTCTGTTTTTCTTTTATTGTTGTAGTCGCTTCACCTCGCTTCATATTCATGCAAGGGTCATTCCCCGTCACCAACGCACACTTTGCACGAATTGGTCACCGGCAGTTCTCATGTTTCTACGTGCGGAAAAGTCACACGAAAACCGTAAAAGCTAAACGTAACTATAGTGGTGCTCAAAGAACGTCATAGAGAGGACCAAACGAATGACCACAGAAATGTAACGTTTTAACCAAAACAAGAAGAAATGACGTCACACTACCGTATGACATTTCACGCAATCATATGGAGCATCGTTTTCGTTTAAGGTGACAATTAGTTCAGAAATATAGGCAAGAAATGAAAAAAAAGTCGTAAGACGACAGCATGACGTGAGCTGCATATGAACACTTATCAAAGAGGAGGCTCCCTCATAGGAGTTTCACAGGTTCGTATATATCTGCCAAATTAAGTGAGAACAACGAATGTATCAAGAACAAATAAAACGGCAATAGCGTTTTCCGACATTTAACGGTGCAGTCGATGAGAAATAAAGATGCCACAGCAAAAAGCAACACTGTATAGAAACACATAAGCACATTGTTTTACAGTGGCAGCCTTGGTACAGCTTCACATTACCAAAAATGTAGATTACCTGTAGCAATAGAATATACACCGAGTTTGCACATCGCAAGTAAAATAGCCAGCGCAATGAAGGTTCCAGGGAAGTACAAAGAATGTTCCAACTAAGCCCTGCGCCAAGTCATTACTCTGTTTTACTGTTCATATATTTAATGCATCGCCCTTGCTCCTATACTTCGTTTCAGATTAAGTGCGGTCGCAGCTGACCCTAAGAGCAAATGCGACTAATCAAGCAGCGTCAAAAGCGCAAGTCACTGACACTTTTTTTTGCTTATGACTGGTTTAAGGAGGATAAAATTCCGACAGAACCAGGACGGACACCGTGATGGTGCGCTTTTGGCGCTGTCTAATTTGTCCCATCAGCTCGTAGCGTCAGCTGCATCGGAATTTAAGCTGAAACAAAGTATAGTACTTTCTTATCAGCTACTTCCTCGTTTTTAGATTTTAAGCACCTCTAATCTATTTTAAACAACTCTACGTATTTGTGGAATGCAAACATTAGTGGGAGATCCTTGCCATCGCCACAAACTGTATTTAAAAGAGGCTTGCCAAGCAGACGATCGAGCGTTCCTAGTGAGAAGATGTCGGTGGTGTGCCTCACGCGTAGTAAGAACTCCCCAGAACCTCTCGACATACGAGTGCTAACTTTGAACACGTCTGCGGACAGTTCTTTTACGAGCAATGTGAGAGGACCATCACATAAGGAATAAACACTCCTCTAACGAAATTTGCAGCCTCTTTTTTTTTATATATGACGTATCAGCAGTGTGAGCGCGTCTTAAAGACCGCGCCAATGACCGGGAATCGTTCCCGTCGCAGATGAGCGGCGGATAGTGAACCAAAATTCGGCCTTCATCGACGCCTCGATTACCTATGGTACGTCGGACGACGTCCTGCGCACCCTCCGGGACCCCGCGCACCCCGAGTACCTGCTCATGCCCGGGGGGCTCCTGCCGCCGAGTCTGAACCCGGACGACGACGGGTGCAGTGACCCGGCCACGAGCCAGTTCTGTTTCCGGGCGGGCGACACCCGCGTCAACCAGCAGCCGGGCATCGCCTCCCTGCAGATCCTGTACGCCAAGCAGCACAACCGGATAGCCACCGAGCTGAACAGGCTCTTTCCCTGGTGGGACAAGGAGACCATCTTCCAGGAGACCAGGCAGGTTCCCTCATTGGAGATACAGTGAAGTTTTTTTTTTTTTCCAGTAGGCATCTGCATTTACGTAAAGTCACTTTTCCGACCCTTGCATTCCTGCTATCGCCATTTTCGGAGGGCTCGTCCAGCTCAAGTACCACTGGCAGCTCTTATGTTGCGCATATTTTTTCGTGTTTAACGATATTTTATTTTGAGCATGGCTAATATGGGGCATAAAACGTGATAAAAACTGATGCAACGGCAAGGTGCCAATGTATTCTGACGCGTGGAGGCACTTTGAGCTGTCCTTCATTTGTAGAAATAAATGAACTGCGCAAAGGACGAGGACAGAGGTAGAAACGAGTACGCCACGCGGAGCGCAGTCGTACTCGTTTCTACCTCCGTCCTCGCCCTTTGCGCATTTCACTTATTTCTACAAATCATGAACCAACTAGCCCGCCAAAAGGTGTTACTTCATTTGTAGTTCACAGATAATCCTTAGAGTGCGCTCGATACTCAAAAAAGGCCCAATTTTTTAGTTAAAATTGTCTTTATTTGCTTCTAAAGACGAGCTCTTCCACTCGTCTGTTTCCCTGGTACAAGAAAGACGTTGGGTCCATATGTACACGATTTAAATGGTCTGACTACGAGGCGAAGATGAGGTGATGCTGCTCCAGGACCTATATGAGGCGCTAGATGGTCACTCCTTGATCGTGTTTGGAAAGCGAGTCAAGAATACGCTTCCGGTGTCGGTTAGACCCTTCTGGACGGGTCTAAACCCACTAAATGAGCGTACGATTCAGAGCAGTGACATTTGAGCCATCACGGTGATTAAAAGTATACGGTGTGAGAATTGATCCGCCTCTTGCGCAGGGGTTGCGAGGATCTCGGAATGCTGAGCTCTGATTAACTCTGATTCGAGGATAGTAGGCAGATCCCAAGACAGCTAGCCGCATTAAGGTCTACCCACTATTCTTCCAACCAGAGCCAATCAGAGTTCGGTGTTCTGACGTCGCTGCAACTCCTGCGCAAGAAGGAGACGTACCTGCGCTCCGCATTACAGTCGGTCGCCTGAAGCCTTATCCGAAAATACCAGAACCACTACTTCGTTCTCCAGAAATATTAAAACAGACCGCCACCGAAAAAAAAAAAAAACAATATCGCATAAGCTTCCTGACACCATATCTAAAACTCAGGCTGTGCCCTTTTTTAATGGTGACTATCGCCAATTCAGCCCGCTCTGGACTAGGCAACAAAATGGCGGCGCCCACGAGATAATCTTAGAATGGAGTGCTGAAACTCTGAGCGTGTAGCTTACTCTGTAACTCGATACTCGTTGTGACATCAAAAAGGGAGGTTTTCCGCAGTATTCATACGCTGCTCGAAATAGTTCTTGCAATAACTGGTTGTGAAAGGAAGTATTACGATGCTTTTGGCGCTTGAAACATCTTTGTCTCGATAAAATGGCACAACTCTAAACTAAGAAGCATCTGCATATACCTTAATTCATAGAGTTATTACAATAAACGCTAGAGGCTCAGCTGGCGCTAGTGTGCTGTTGCATTTTGAAGCAGACAGCAAGCAGTCAGAAATTGACTTCCGGTAATGCATTTCTATGGGAAAACGCGAGGGTATTTTCTTTCTGCGCTCTAATATGAAAGCAAACATCACAAATAATTTGTATTTACCAGGCACATTGGAACATTTCTCAGTCACACATACGAAATAATTGGTCAGTTACAATATTTTTATTTGAAATTTGTGGTATGAAAAACGGTGTTAAAATCGCTTCGTGCGTGTGTTTATGTGCACTGTCAGACACTGTTAGCGCGAACACGGCGTCGACGCTTTCCAGCATGGGGGATATACGTGCCAAACGAACGAACGACATGGGGAAAACCAAGAGGGACGGCAAGAACTACGCAGTAACACTGGATAAGTAACTCCTTGTGCTTGCAGACGATCAAAATAATTTGAAAGCCACGTAATATAGTCCGATTTGCAATAAATAAGTACTGTTTTATTCTTTCTGCTCATGAATATGTCCGAAGATGCTTGTTCTGTGTTCGAATCACCCGCACGCTCCAAATATTTGCAAAAAAGGGGAAGCCAGACGACAGGTGCGCGATAAAAACTGCCCCAACATAGGAAATTATAAAAAAACACACCTTTCGTAGCCCACGTACTTTATTCTTTACGTTTCGAACGTTTTTTTTAACCACTCGTAAAGATGCACGACGGGGTCATTTTCATACAGTGAGAGGACAGGCATATTAGCAATATATAAGCACCAACGGAATGCTGGCGAACTTTGAACACACTCTACATTCCTTTCGATCGTTATTTTGCTTAGAATCGTCGCTCGTTTTTACATACCTTCCTTGCAACAGAGGTTTGGGCCTGAAATAGAGCGAAGTTTAACATCGTTCAGTAGTAAAGAAAAATGTTGTAACTAAAGCAATTGCACTCTCACAGTATCAATAAAGGTACATACTATCCGGTACAACCGAAATGACAAAAGTTATTCATGTTATTTTCCGGCGAAGAGACAAAATTCACGCTCGTTTTCCCATAGGAACACACAGGGAGGCTGCAAATCTAGACTGCATGCTGTCTGCTTCAATTTGCAACCGGAAGTCCCATAGACAGTAGCGCCAGCTGAGCCTCTAGCGTTTATTGTACTAACTCTATGCTTTAATTTAACATGCGAACTGAGAAATTAGCTGCATTCTAAAATGAACCGGACAGTTCTTTTTTTTTTTTTTTTTTTTTTACTTTGATGCTTGAGGTGGATGCGAGTATAGGTGGATCCAGACTTCCAACTTTGATGGGCGGTCTTGGGAGATAATTTTTCCTCTAATAGCTGCCTGGTTTTGTCCGACCCCCTGGCGTCCCCACATCATGTGTTGGGTGTTTAGGCGTGCGTCGTTGTGCACGTATGTTCGATGAGGACTTTCTTTTGCGTTCTTGTCGTTGGCTGCACGCAGGTGATGTGTAGATTTTTTTTTCGCTTCCACGTAGCTTTGTACGTTTCGCTCCTGAATAGGATGGTGACTGTTTGAATTGATATGAATGCGATCTCAGCGTATTGAATCAATCACACGCACTCTTCCTCCCTACTTCTTTGCATTCTACCCGTCTAAAGGAATAAAAAAAGTTAAATATAGATTTAATGCACCACGGTCGCATCCACGTAAACGCAGCCTGTGTTAGACACAATGGGGGGGCTGCTATTCACACTCGAAGCTTGGAGCATCGGAGCGATAATTAATTCTGTGAAACTCATGGGTCATTCTGCTCGATCTCCGCCCGTGCCCATTTTGATCTGGATGAGCATCGTACCTGCGTGTGGGTGTGCAATCAGTACTGCGTGGTGCATGTTAAAGACATCAAGGTATCAATCTTACTGCCCTAGCCATGTTGCTTATCTACAGCAGGAACGTCAGACGTGACCTGAGGCAGATCAAAGCCATACTGTACAAACTATTTGACATTTTGTTAGCTTAAACAGTTATCTAACCGTCTAAACAACAAGCAGACATCGCTTGCACGTATATTGTGGACATAGTACGAGAGTAAATATTCTCTCTTCACTGCTTCTTCAGAAGCGAGATATGAGTTATTAGCCTTTGTAACAACATAATACCGCACCTGTTCTGGCCACGAATCGTGGAGCTTGTTTCTGAGTTGAGTGAGTGTCTACAAAACGCTTAATCAGTTCTGCATGCCACGGCAACCGCTAAAGTGTTCAAAATGAGAGATTTGAATCAGAAGCAGTCAACAATTGCCCTAAACAAAAGGCCATTAATTTTCTTCATTAAAAGTCGTGACCGCCCTGCTGACTGATCATAGATCAAGTACCTTCACATGTATTACGTCAAACGGTCATAAATCAGGTCAACCGACTTGCACCTCAAAGCAACATTAATACGCCTATTCAATTTCTCCGGAAAATATAGCGGACCAAACTTTCATTTCATTTGTTTATTTCATTTCGTCTTTTTTGTGCACATGAACGGCGAGTAGTCTAAGTAATGAAGCACAGAGTCAAACGGAGCACACACAACAAATCTACAGCACTGGAAACAGATAATACCTATTATGGGGGAACAAAAAATAGGTAGCAGTTAAATATCAGCGATTAAACGCCTTAACACTTGAACATTTGAGTTGAAAATGTCGATGCTGGTTGTACTGAACGTGTTATAAAAATGTTGGATGCGGTTCATGGGACTGGAAAGGTAATTTGTTAAACCGAGAAAGTGGGGTTTACGCTCAAAAGTCAAGTGGTACATATATATTGATGGCTGATGTAAGAGTTGAACAGTTAATGCGAGCATGAACGCATTTATACAAAAACACTAAATCACGCTGAAGTCTTCTCGAGCTCAGCCTAGTACAACCACATCGTCGTAAAGGCCTGTTATTCTTATAAGAAACACTGCGGCCAATGTACCAATCATAAATAATACGAAAGAAATGCCTCTGCACGTTTCCGATTTGAACTTTCGTACAGTTATACAGCAGATGGCGTTGCAGTTCAGATAAATGCGCGTGAGCGCGTGCCTTTGCTTATTGACTGTCAGTTTCTCGCGCAGCTAGAAAAATTTCATCTCCAACGAATTGTTTTAAGACCAAATGTTAGAAATCGATTCGATTCAAGTTCTTCCTCTTTTTTTTAGTAAAGATAGAGCCCTGAAAACCAGAAGGGATCACATTCGATGTCGAGTTATTAGGTCTTTGAGCGGATACCGTTTGAAAGTAATGATTTGTACAAAACAATATATCTGTCAATCCTACGAATAAAGTCAGCAGTCAAAAAATGTTCCGCGTGTTTTGAACTGATATAGGCGTTTATGATCTTATTTATAGCTAGAAATTCACACAAAATCTAGAAGAAAGAAATTCCTCACTAAACTTTGCAGCAAAACGTTCATTCGTGTATTCGCACAAATTCAATTTCCCCACAAAATATAACGGTGAAACGCTTTCCTCTAAATTTATCGGGTATCGTTTGTCCTTTGCGTGTAACTCTTACGTCATGCATTTCGCGACGCCCATTTTATCAAAGAGTAGCCATAAACACAATCTGCGTAATCAGAATGGGTAGTAATCCGTCGACCTGGGCATACACTGCTCGCTCCGTTCTCAGATGTCTTTCTCGTCAATCTGGCAGGCGGGTCCTGATCGCCCAGCACCAGCACATCATCTACACGGAGTTCATCCCCCAGATGCTAGGCCCCCTGCACACGGCAGCCGCGGGCCTCGCACCCAGGCTGGACCCCCTTACGGGCAAACCGGCGCGAAGCCAGTACGAACCCGAACGTGACCCCCGCATCATGGTGGAGTTCACGACTGCCGCGTACCGCTTCGGCCACGGACTCATCGACCACTTCAGCCTGGTCAACTGCCGGGGAGGGGTCGTGCCCTTCTCGCTCTCGGACCGCTTCTTCCAGGTTCAGGACTTTTACCAACCGGTGAGTCTGCGGTCACTCGCAAGATTACGACACGTGGGAGGGCGTCTCCCAACATCTTATTTTTGCTCCAGGCTTAATCAGCTTGCGAAACTAGGCGAGACGAACAACAAAGATTACTGTTTTTTTTGTTTTTGTTTTTTTAATATAAGCTCGAGTTGACTTGGACGCATTGGGATATACTATGTTCAGCTTCACTCTAGCTTCGAGCGCAGCCGAAGCTACGATTCGATGTAGCCAATCAAGTAGTCGAAATTGAAGTGGCCTTTCGCTCAGCCGGAATTTGGGGGCCGTTTTTCGAGGTTACAGACAACGCCGGCTGCGCTCCATGGAACAGTTAATACTTTCGCATTAATAAGCTCCTAGAGTAGATATAAGCGCCGAAGGACAGGAACAACGTGTAAGAGGTAACGACAACAGGGAGCGCACTCGCAAGGTTTATTCGAAACGCACTAACTTACGTACAGTTGCCAGTGCGCTCCGTGTTGTCGTTACCTCCTTCACCATGTCCCTGTCCTTCGGCGCTTCTATCCAGTCATCAACCAACTAGCCCAACTTAACATTTTTTTAAGCTCCTAGAGAATGATTTCTTGTTTCATTGCCGTGTGATTTCCTGTCTAGCAATACTAGTGGTAGTTCAACTTCATTCGTACCTTTTATTTATTCTGTAAGGCATTATGCAAACATAGAAAAAAAAAAACATGTATGCAGATAGTATGGCCCACTATGAAAATCTTCCCTGTTATATCGTAAAAACCGTCGTCATCGGCAACAGTGATGACTTCTTCGGCAGTTCATTCCAATCACAGATTGTTTGCACAAAAGAAACATAATAACAGTCTGTGTGATAACGACATTTTCTAAATATTTTTTTAAATCATCTAACCTTGAAGAAAGGCACAAAATACGGTGGCAGGATGTGGGGGCTTCTTCTGATACCCGTATGTCTGTGATAAATACTAGGCAAATCTTTCAACCTTAAGGACTTAGTCCTTTGTTCAAGAATATTTAACCTTATTTGTATTTCATTTCAGTTCAACTCGCTAAGGGGTTTATACCTGGTTATCAGAAATGTTCGCTTGATTTTGAATTCGCTCTAATTTATGTGCGAGGTATCCCGAATGGCACAAACCTAATCAGAACAATTCGTATATTATATCAGTGCAACTCGCTTAAGGGGTGTGTGTATATTTGGTTATCAGAAGTATTCGCTTGATATTTAATTCGCTTTAATTTATGTGCGAGGTATCCCAAATGGCACAAGCGTATTCAGGAATTTATCTGATGAAAGAAATCTACAATGTTTGTTTCATGCTGCGGAAGTTATTGTTAAAGTTACTCCGTACAAGATACAATGCTTTTTTAGCCTTGTCTATATAACTCCTCGATTTTAGTTTAGACTAAAATAGACTGAAATACTTTTGTTTTTCTACATGTTCAAATATTTTTGATTCCCACGTGTTCACTGAATCACTGCGTCAAAGACAACATGTATTTGCACAAAAAGTCAAGGAGCGAACGAGCCGATAAAAACTGATAAAACACAACCTTCCGAGTGCTGGTAAACAAAGTACGACACACACACAGTACGTCTCAAACAGAGCTTGCACTGAGATGGGCTTGATACTTCTTTTGTGAGAACGTCGTCCTTCGCCTACCCACAAGCTTGAGGTTGTGTTTTGCGTATTTGCACTTTTCGATATTCCAGAAGGCTGGGTTACTATAAAGGCGAGGAAGATGTTCCGACGAATTCAGAAATTCGATTTATTATGCCTCGAGGAGTCGATCGCAGACGACGACTGTTTCGTTGCTCACCGCAGGGCACGTGGGTGAGGTTTATGCGCGGCCTCTGCCTGCAACCGGGCCGGCCCGCTGGCTCGGCCCTCTCGGACTCCGTGCGCGCCCACCTGTACCGGAACCAGAGCAGCCAGGCGGGCCTGGACCTGGCCTCGATCAACGTGCAGCGGGGCCGAGACCACGGCATACCGGGCTACGGCCACTGGCTACGTCGCTGCCTCGGACGTCACATGACCAACTTCGAGGACCTGACTCCCTACGTGCCGCCGGAGAACATCGAGATCATGCGAAGCCTTTGGGAGTACGACGATTTTGCATCTACTACCACTTATTGATTGTCTCACCTTTGGCGATGAGCCATAGTTTCTTACGAAGGCCCAAGGAAAGAGTATATTATACGAGGGGCGGGATGCTGAAACTAGACCCTCTACTAAAGTTCATTAAGCAACACTGTAGGCCGCCATGTTTTAGGAATCGCTCCCTGCGCAAAGCCAGGCACTGGATCCCTGTTGACGCCGAACGCTAACGCCAACTGGCGTCGAAAAGATTTGCATGCGAGTACACGCCAAACGCTGACCTAGCACTCCTCTCCAGAGCATGTTCAAAGTGCGAGGTCGAGAAATGGCGGCGTCGTACCAGCTACAGGTGGGCGCGCTCTTTTGAAGGGGGTGATCGTAGTAACACTCACTAAAATCACCGAAACCTTCACGAATACAAAAAAGTTCTAGAAAAGCGGTATAAAAAGATTTGTTAAAAGATAGGTTATCTATATAGTCCTGCTAGTTCAAATATTAACCACCTCAATAGATTCGAAAGAAATCGGTGGGTTCGAATCCCAGCCGATCTGCCCGCGGTCTGAAGGAGGCATAGTGCATAAAATGCACCGTGTATCTGAGGTTTAACTTGCACGTCAGAACATGCCCAGGTATTCAAAATTAATCCTTAGTTATCCGCAGGAGCATACCAGTTGCTTTTGGCAAGTAAACCCCAGAAATTTGCTTAGCTTACAAATTTTTAATATTCATCGAGTATTTACTTAAATTTATAAATTTATGAGCTTCGACTTTGCTGTAGTCTAAGCGTTCACTGTTATTATTATCTAAGATATTGGAGAGTTACCAAAGCAACTGGCAGATGCGTAGATGGGCTGTATTTTGCAGGTGTTGTCTGAGGTTGGAAAAATTAAAGTCCGGATAGAAATAGTATCCGTCAAAACGTTAGAATATAATAGCAGACCTTACAAAAAAAAATGTCAAAAGATGTTTTCCGTTTTAAATGGGGTTCAGGCCGTACTGCACGGCGGTGCAATTCTGAGAGTTGGTGTAAAATAGACGGAGAATGTCGAAGACCCGCCATCCGTATACATTTGTTATGCTACTCTTTCTTGGCAAACATAAATCCCCGAGGGGTCTAACGCTGTCAAACGTACTTGTGCGAGCGCGTCGCACTAGATTCCGATCGAAGGAGACGCATGATGAAGCTTCGTGCTCTCGCAGCAGTGCGAGGCTCCCACACTTCGAAAACTCTGCAAGCCTTGACATTTTAGCACAAAAAAGATTACGCCAGGGGTAGCAATATAAAACACATGCAGGGCTACTCACACCAGAAGTTCTGGCATAACGAATACCTCCAGGGGCTTTGAAACCGCGTTACAAGCATTTCTTGATCCAGTTGTGTGTAGCAGCTTTATTCAGCGCAACAGCCTTGATGGTAAAATCTCACAGCAATACACGGTAGGCTGCCTTGTTTGTCATGGCACCATGCTGAAGCCGAGGTCTACATTTTGGTGTTTATCACTTGCTGAATGCGATCGATACAAATCGCTAGTCGCCCCCCGCGCGCTTCCTGAAGAACTAGCTACAAAGGTACTTTTTTATAGTGCAAGATCTTCGGGCTTCCGACAGCTCTTTCCAGAATTACTAGTGGTGCGAAAAACGTAACCACCGCCCACCGACACTTCTAAAACGCACATGCGTCGGCTTTTCCAAAAAGGGCACCAAGTGCTTATAATTGCGATCTACAAAGGGGGTTCGGAAAATTATTAAACCGAAAATGTTCTCAGGCCTAATATGAAGACTGCGATTTGACACTGGGCATGGCTATTCATGTGCCTACGTCATAACCGGTTTTCTCACCGCCGACTTTACTTGTCGTATGTGTGTGTGAATAGTGCATTGAATCGGATAGCGCAGCATCATTGCTAGCTTGAACGCTGTAAACAGAGCCGGTATGTCGGGCGTTTCACTCACTATGAAGGGCATGAATGACGCCGTGCTATACTATTTGATGTTCTAGGGGTGTGCGAACATCGGTTCGATTCGGATAGCACTGCGCCATTTATAACATTTATAGTGGAAGGAAAGGCGACGTCAACCGGTTTTCTTAAGAGTCCTAAAGTTAGGAATGACGCAGAGCTATTCGATGCCAATCGGTATTCGCGCACCTATTTGAACCACTAATTTTTGTGTTAATCCATATTTTGAGCCGTTCACCAAGCCCCCTAGTAGTATAAGAACAGCGACTCGCCTAACTTTACACCTTGCTCCCTCAGTTCATTGCAGTTATGGGCTTTTTGGGTGCTACACGAGAACGCAGTCGCGTAGCTATTCGAAGAGTACGTTTCGAAAACGACAACCCGCCGTTTCATTTTATACAGCACGGATCCGATGGCGATTTCATAATTTCAACGAACTGCATAACTCGGTTTCTTAACTTATCGCGCTACGGGTTACCGCGGAGGTTCCGAGGTGCTGCATTTTGTGTATAATGTCATGGAATTGACTAACTTAAGTAAGAAGCTAAAGTACAGGACTGCTTTTTCTTTGCCTATGCAATCCGTCCGCTAACGACACGCGTCTGATTGGTGCAACACCAGGCAGATTTTGCGAAAGTGGCCTAGAAAATTTGTTAGCATGCCTAAAATAGCTCGACAAACTATTGTTTTCTTGGATTTGTGTTTATACAATGTGCTTCACTGTAAGGACGACAAAATGACAAACTGAGAACTGACACTAAAGGCCCGCACCCCTTTTCTGACACAAAAAGATGGTGCGCTCTCGGCAAGAGCGAGAAAGAAAAATTTTTGATTGACCCTTTAGTTGAGGGCGTCAAGGGGGCATCCAGGAGGACGCCAGTAAAAGAGGGGTGAGGACAAGGGGATCACAGATGGATGGTAGCATCAGAAAGATGTAGCTGGAGCGAGAGAAGCGAATGCGAAGACCGCTGCCGCCATCTGTTGGTTGTTTATCCAACGAGAAGTGTGGCCTTTGAAAACGTACACCTTAGGCCGGGAAAAGAAAATTGTTCTGATTTGTCTAACATTTATTTCGGTAACTTTATATTAAAAAACTTGGGACACAAAATGCGGCACCATCTGGTGCCTCTGCAGATAATGTTAGAGCGATAAGTTAAGAAAAAATATCAAATGACCATGCAGAATATGCTTCGATTGACAGGGCTAGCTTCCGCGTTTCTTTAAAGATGTGCTTTAGGAGATTTGCTTTTGCCCTTTTGTAACGCAGACCTGCATGTCGCGCATACTTTTTAAACTGCACACGTCTTCGCCGGGGAGCTATCGAACAAGAACGGAGACGTGCATTGATTGTGGGATGTCAGGTCTCTCCGAAACCGAAACCGGTCGCACGGGTCGCACGACTACCTCAAGGAGTTGTCCGAGAGTGTCCTCTGAAATTTGGCGGTTGCCGAAGCGAAGGAAACGTCGTCGTGGAGGTCCCACCTCAGCACTGTCGTCGGCAGCCCGCCGTCCGCGCATTCTCTTTGCCCCTTTGTAGGCGCGTGGAGAACATTGAAGAACCCCGCAGTGTGCAAAGGGGGGAGAGGCTACGCCAGAGATGATGTGGTTGCTTGAGGAGCGACGATGAGGGGCAGAGAGAGAAAGCGCGACGGAGAGCTCCAACTTTCTCCCTCTCATCGTCTCCCTCTATCCCCGCGATGACGTGGGTTTTGGGCGTTTGAACAACGCCGAGTTTTGTCGGAAAGGAGCACAAACAGATAACGCTGTAAAGCCGTCATCACATTGCGAATAAAACATACAAAAGACAGTTTACAGACATTGTCTCAGGAACATGTATTCCTTCTGTGGCGGTTGCGTCAGATTAATCATAAAACAAAACCTATCTGCAGAAATGTTTGAAGAAAACATGCTTCCAACATACTTCAGGCATGTCGAGAGATTATTTTTTTATCGTGAACAGCCAACACCGTGTCTTTTGTTTGATATATCAGCTGGCCCTATCCTAGCGTCTATGAGCAGTTTGAACAGCGGGAAAGCTTTTGTCTCACTGCTCAAACGGAGGTTTGAGCAGCGAGACAGCTTTTGTGCGATCTGTTCGGAAGTTTTTTGCGACGGTGCTACAACACGGTTACTCCCATTGACGCGAACGCGCAGGCACCCCGACGACGTGGACCTGTGGGCGGCGGGACTGATGGAGTACCCCGCCGGACCTGGTGCCCTGGTGGGACCCACATTCGCCTGCATCCTGGGTCGACAGTTCCGCAGCCTCAAGTTCGCCGACCGTTTCTTCTACACCCACGGACCGGGAAACAACGTGAACGCGCTCACTGACAGTAAGAGCTCTATCGGTCAACTTTAAGAAACTCTTAGTAGCTTTCAGCGATGGTGGCACTGCGGCGTGGCTGTCGCGCTCACTACTAATTCGTAGACGATAGACGTCAGACGCGCCGACCTTAATGGGAAAGATATGCATTAGAGCTCGCAGTTAGCAACGCATCAGGAAGTCCATGGGCTTGAATATAAGAGGTTTCGGAGTGGGCTTGGTGCGGAAAGAATAAGGCTTGCATGGCCTTTTCCCATTGTGTGAGTGATCCCTGTACACGCTAAATTTATTCCCATATCAACCCTAATAATTACCAGCCTTCCAGTTTGTCCGCTCTTTTCGACTAAACGGCAGATATGTCCCTCGATCTGTGACTAACCACATATCTCCAATGGTTTGTCAAACGAATATGTAATGGGACCTAGAGATAATATACACCTGAACTAATGATGAGGCCGTGAAAACTGCCTTTATTGTGGCAGCGTGCGTGACATCTTATCATCCCTTAAAACCAAATAATTGCAAAAATTTCTTTGTTTGCAAATTAAAAAAAAGCAATGCCGTCACATCAAGTCATACATTAAAAAAGCACCCATTTTTCAACTGTCGAAAAAAAATCATCCTCCAATGAATTTCTTTTCGTTTTTTTTTTCAAGAGTGCTGCACACAAAAAGAAATATTCGCCTAAAACGTAACACGTGCGCAGGCATATGTTCGCTCGCAAATGCCTGCGCAAAGAGCCGCTTATAATCCGCTCTCCCCGAGCGCTTCTGGGAGTAGGCACAATCTTGAGCTTTATAGTAACACGGTCAGTAAGACCCGGTTTGAACTGAACTGTCTTCTTGCAGCTCAAGTGGCTGAAATTTCCAAGTTCAGCCTGGCCAAGATGATTTGCGCCAATGCCGACGATCCGGATACCTTCTGGGTTCAGCCACAGGTCTTCCTGCAACCTGACGAACAGACGTAAGTCCTTACCCACTATTTATTTCGCTTCCCTCTGAGTTCGCATTCAAAGAATCGGTTTCATCTAGTTTGATTTAAACTAAACTGATCTCAATCAACATGAATCGAACCAAACCACCTTAATCGAAAGAAACAGAAGCAGACTTGCCCGAACAGAACCGGCCGGGATGACAGATATCTGAGCTGAAAGGAACCAAACGCAACCAAAACTGAGCGGAATGATCTGGACTGCTTCAAGCAAATCTGCAGTTTCATAAAGCAGTAATGATCGCGACACACCGAAAGAAAATTACTGGGTCGAGAGCCGATTGAATATCCCTGTTTCACGGCCAGTTAACATATCTTCAGATTGTGCTCCTTTTGTAAATCGGCGAATAAGCACATACCGACTGGCACGCGGTGAGTCGAGATAGAGAACTATTTTGCCGACTTTTTCAATGAGTTTATTCTGAACGCCTTTTACGCGCACGTAAAATTCTGTATAGCTTGTCTATCTCGTTAAAACTGTTCGACAAAAACAGGCGAAAAGAGCATCATTGAATAAAATAGGAGGAGTCCCGTGTAAAGTATTACGTAAATAACGCTTTGGTCCATCCATTTATTCGCATCCGAGGTGCTTTATACAAGGCACAGAAGGAGTAGGTTTTAATAAAGCAATTTTATTTTATTTGCTAGTTTTAGCACGAAGTCAAAGGCAATGGTTAATGGTTGAATTTGAGAAGACAGAAAGAAATGTGCGCGCCTTTTTACTAACATTAAGGTTCCGGCTAAAGTACTAAGTAAAATGCATCAAATATATGCTATATAAAATTTTAATTAAAATTAAACAAATATAATTAAAATGTTTGGCTGTGCTATTCTGATTTTTCCTCACACCGCAGGCTGTAGGAATATATAAAAAAACGAACGCAATGCCAACACAAAAGCTATAGTTTTCAGCAGGAAGTTCATCTGCAAATCTTCTATTGCATTTACAAGTTTTGTTCTATATTTCTGAGCAGAGATTGTTAGCAAGGTACCCACCTTTGAAGGCAATACTAATTGATTCAACGATCAAAGAGATTCATCACGCATTTCCATCGGATCTAATTCAATGAACGCGTGACCTCGGCTTTCTTCTGTCGTCGCTCTTGGAGACGGTCAGCCATATCCACTCGTGGAAAGAGGCACATCCATCTCCGGAGCGGCAACTGAGCTAAGCCGCATTCCAAAGCGACGCGGCGCTTGCTCGTCCATGGCTCCGCTCCAGCTGTGCGACGCTCGTATTGGTCGGAAGCGCGACGTCAGCACGCGTCCCCCTCTCCCTCTCTCCCCGCCGCCGACTCGATACCTTCTCACCGCCCCGCTCTCCTCGTGACGTAATGCATGGCGCTGACAAACGGACGCGCGGACTGATGCCGGCGGGTTTTCGTGAAAACGAGAATTATAATGCACACGCATTACAACAGCGAGTTTAATAACGATCCATTGGAGTGGAGGTTGACCTAATTTGACTTCGCCGGACGTTCCTCACGACTATATAAAATAATAGTACATACAGGCCTGACGAAGGTAGTGCTTGCGTCAAAACCACAAAAGGGTCCACATTTCCAAGTTTGAGCGGTTGCGCTATTAGTCGTCAATTCATCAATTAATCGATTAATTGAACAGTCCGACTTATTACAAACATTACTTTTTTTGTCAGGAACGCTCTTGGAAGTGTTAAACTCTGAAAGAGAAAAACGTCAGGACAATATTAACATTGACAATTGAAATGTATATCATACAATGCCTATTTTGTACGCCTTCTGGAGTCAAACAACTTGCAGTTTTCGACGGGACGTAAAACATCCACTCCCACCGCTGACCCTCCACAGGTCCTTGATGTAAAGTAGACGTTTATAATTTAAAGTCTAAGGGGGCGTTATAGCCTAATTCAGCTTTTAATTGGATCTTGTTCCTAGTAATCTAGCGGGAATGACAAGGTCTAACCTTCATATCTAAAAAAATATATAAAAAAACTGACGATGAAAAAAACCAGCAAGCCCCGGATAATATGTTATTTCGCCAACTCATAAAATTGTAAACCAATTGTGCAAAAAAAATCATATTGATGGCATTGGTTCGACAGGGATACGGAAATAACCCGCGATAATAATATATAAGAAAGGTAGAATCTAAATAATATAGTCAAACCGATAAATATTTTTGGCTAGATGTGGTAGACTCCGCTCTACAGATTTATTCAGCTTCAAAAAGGAAAGAAGTCAAGATAAAGGACTGCCCACTGACGGCTCCAGATAGGCTTAATTAACGTTTCCAATCTAAGCAGGCATAGATTGGGAAAAAATAAAACAAGTACCCAGATTTAATTAGAAACGCCGCGACAGAGAGTTTTTCTAATCATTCAGTCTCGTCAGGCCTAGGGTTGCCTGCCGTACCCAATCCGACCAAGCCATAAACCGTCGTCTGTCGTGTCGTTGTCAGGGTGTTCAATGTTTTAGTCCAGAACTGGCCAGACGGATGCATGCAAACTACCACAAACAATAACCATTTTAAAAAAAGAATCGCAATTACGAGGGGCACTACAGTTTTTTTTAATTTCATCTTAGCTGGGGGCCACAGCGAATTCTGCTCATAAAGCGAACGCTTTATATGTTTCTTTATTGCCCGTATTTATTCGGTAAACACGCACCTTGAGGTTAATCTCGAACGACGTTCTTGCAGTTCTGAGAAGCTCAGCTAAGTAATTCTCCACCGGGGTCAAGTGCCGTTTTGATTTCACCGCCTACATTCTTGAGAAGGGTGCCTCGCAATCATTTGTTTATCCGATTATCGACAAAGGTGTCTGAGCGCGAAGCCATGGTGGCACAAGGCTGCCAAAACGCAAGATGTCTTCTATTCTCTATTTCATTCCATGTGATCTTGCCGGGGGAGAGAAGGGGGGGGGGGTGTTCTTACCATAGAGCTGGGAACCCCAGCAGGGCCCGCGAGGAGCCACGGTTTGGCAACCCCGGCTCTAGCCGGTGATAGGTTAAGACTGAAGTGGAAGTCTCCAGGTTAAACTCTCTACATTCGATAATCCTTCGACGTCTCGTGAGCGTGCGCAGCCAAAACACGACGGGTGGCATTGAGCGCCTGCTTGGAGGGTAAGAGGTTCCGGACGACTATAAATAAAAATCTTCTAGAGGTCAAAATGAAAAAAAAAAAGGAAAACGTAAGCAAGAAATAAACCGGGAAACAAGATATTCTCAATGGAAGTTTCTTGTTGCATGACTAGAACATAATTTCGAAATCAAGGAGTCTATAGTCCGTTGCAACTCAAGAAGGTAGGACGAGGAAAAGGAAGGCCGGGGAGGAGGAAGTAGAGGGAACGATGGAGAGAGGAGGAAGGTTCCCCCTCTCCTCTCCAGTGTTCCGTATATAGATGCCAACACAGGGTGTGGCTAGTTTGCAGAATCTATTATCGTTCCGTAGGCAGGCAGAGCGCGGAATTAAGCAATCAGAACGCCCGAGAACTAACTATAAAGCAAGAAGCCTGAAGGTAAAAAGCCCCCCCGAGGCTCTTACGATGTCAGGAACAATAAAACTCCTAAAGCAGTTTCGCAGCTGCGGCGAAATGGAGTTTTTAGAATCTACTACTGTACCCCAGGCTAGCGGTTGTACTGCACTGGCTAAATTGCTCATCTACAGCGAGTGACTCCTCGCAACTTTGAAATGGCTGGCCAACAACAGGCTGTATAAATATCCACACAACCCCAATTATTATTATTAGTATCTACTTTTATCTGGTGTCCGACTTTATCATTTAGTAGAACATTTTCTGAAAACATTTTTGATCTTCTCAGCACCAACTTATTTTTACGCTTCTTGGCACCATTTGCTTTAGAGAGCATGAGTTCTGTTGAAATACGTTTTTTTTTTTCCTACTGGAACAGCTCAAGACCCGAGTGCGCATCTGAATACTACTGTCAGTAGACACAAAGTCTACGAATGTACATACAGTGCGCAGGCGAGATGGCGGAAGTTTATCCCTACCATTTATAATTTCTGTGGCGCAGTGGATCTGTATGTAAAGAAGGTGGTTCAATGAAATCATTTAGCTGATCGGGACGTGTTTGTCCACGTTTAATTTTTTCAACCACTGTAAATGTATTTTCCTCCTGCTACAGTTTCGGGTCAATGTCGTAATAAACTAAGTCCACAATTTGCAGCGATAATAACACCATATTACGGCTTAAACAAACCACCCCTACCTATCTCGAGAAGTCACGATGTCCTCGTATTTGTCTTGCTTTTTTTTAAAATTATGCACGATGACAATAATCTTGCCAAGTAATAGTACTGCGTGCCTCTAAGCCTATTTGGTATTTCAGTAATTGTTTATAACTGGCATTTTATGTAATAAAACACGTTTTGACTATCAAACCTACGTCGTTCGTACGAGGGTTTTTCCACGCTAGAAGTAATTTTTATCGCCGTACCACAATGCGTTCCATCGCCTTCTGCGCGATAATATATGTTTCCGAGCCGAAATGTTGTTTATAGATTGACTTTTAGCTCACTGGACGCGTTTTTGTCCACTAGAACTCTTTCGTACGACTGCAAAGGCACGCGCGATTCGCTAACTTCCAGACAGTACCACGGTGACCATCAGCCAACGCCTGAAAGCGTCACCGGAGGAGAACTGCGGCCTTGTCTTATAGGCGCTGTTGGTTAGCGCCTCTTCCCATAGATATCGTTGTTGTGCGAGGGGTGACGACAATGAAGAGAGAGTGCTTGCACCGCTGCCCGGCGGTAGTACCACTCTGTCTCTGTCCACGATCTCGTGGGTTTTTGCGTGCAAGCGTTGCCGGATTTCAGAAAAAAAAAAACAAAAAAACACTAACAATTACAGTTTAAAAAAAAAAAAAAAAAGGTAGGAGCGAGTTGCTAGAATTTTAGAAATATCTTGATTTGAAAGCAAGCAAGATGCGTTCATAACACTGTCGAAGAAGAAAGGTATCTAAACAAGGCTAGCC